TCCCCTCCCCTCCCCTCCCCTCCCCTCCTCTCCTCTCCTCTCCCTCCCCTGCTCTCCTCTCCTCTCCAGTTCCTTTCCTAATTACTCCTCTTTGCTTGCCGCTTGAGAAGAACTTTTGAAACCGCATATAGCTAAGCCTCAATTTCGCACTGATTCATCTCCTTCTCCCCATTCCTCGCTTATCCCCATTCTCCACCTTATACCCTCCTCCCCCTACTTGTTCCTCTTCCTCTGTCCTCTCCCCCCTCTCGTTCCTCTTCCTCCTTTCCCACTCTCCATCATCTGCCTCCTCTCCCTCCTCTCCCTCGTCTTTTCAACTCACTCCCCCACTCCTCTCCCTCCTCTTCCTCCTCTTCCCTATCCCTCCTCTCATTCCTCTTCCTCCTCTACCAATACCTCCTCTCCCTCCTCTTACTGTGATACATTGCTCCTTAATCTTGAAAATGTGCAGCCCAGTTTAATTACTCAACTCCGTACACAAATCTTCCTGCAATTCTCGAATACAAAGTTCATTATTTTCTACTTACTTAGGGTATTTATTCAATACTGGTGGTTCACTTTCCCCGTATTTAGGGTGACACATCACATATGTCTGGTCGATTTGCGTCATAGGAACTTTTGTATCCGCCTTATGCTCGGCCACCTTTTCAAGCTGCACATCTTCCGGACATCTGCGCATTGCGTTTTACCATTTTTTCACAAATATGCAATAATACCGCACCAAGGCCAGGATCACAGCGCGTCGATTTACGACGCCCTTGCCGGATTGCGCAAAGAGTAATTGTGTCTCAGTCCGAGCATGCTCGTCCATTTCATCCAATATGTTAGTTCTTGCCCACCTTTTAGGTGGGCAAGCCAACCGGCGGCCGCCATGACTAGCAGGCATCCCGTACAGCTGAAGTACAGCTGAAGTACCGGCAAAGTACCTGTATATGAACAAAATACTCCTGAAAACACCAAAGCCAAATACAAGCTTGGAAACATAGGTGATTGTTGCTGCTGCAGGGTTGTATCAGATAAGAAAGGGGACCATATAAATGTTGGATGGCATCTTCTGCTGGCATCTCCAAGGCCTGCATCAGTATTCAGACAGCTCCCTTTAATCAAAAGATGTCGATTTGCCTACCTGCAGGTAGGCAATCCAGCTGGTTTGATGTGAAAACGGACCAAAATACATAAGACGGCATAAGATGAGATACAACCCGCGTACGTTCTTCGTACGTTCTTCGTACACTCAAGACAGAACTCACACCGGTCAACCGGCCGGCGGATTTCACTTCATCTCCACTTCACAGGAATCCTTAGAGCCCACTTCATCTGTGAATTCGAGCTGCGTGGCAAGAAATGAAGATGAACATAAGGTGCCAAAATATGATTATTAATCGAATATGAACACTTCCGCTGAAGTCGAGCTGAACTATTGGCGAATTACCTATGGAAGGAATACCACCTTGAAAAGTAGAATACAAAGAAAGGTTAATTCCACGAGTGAGGAACGTAAGGAAACCTATTTAGGCAACTGCGAAAACTCGTAGCATACAGAATCGTATATGGTCCTAGATATAAATGAATAGGCAAACACATTCGCGATGATGTCGAGTTGTGTTCCTTGGCGATGTCTGTACATGCATACCTGTCCACAAAGCGCTTGCTTGACCTCGACTCCACCAACTCGACTCGTGAAAAGTAGGGCCAGCGGGGCCAGCGGGCCGTGCACTGCACCTGAGACTACGGCAGCCAAGACGCACACACAGACCAGATAACGCAAGCCATCTAGACAGGAGAAAATGAGCCCAAAAGGAAGGGTCAGAAGCCCGCGACCATGTACCCGAAACCCGTGACCAAACCAATTCGCCATTAGGCACCCCAATTGGCGAAAGGCCCCTAACTTCCACAAGAGGGCACACCAACAAAAAACTGACAGCAACTTACGCGCTGCGGCTAGGTGAGGTCTGCTCCCTAAAGATCCCCCAAAATACCGAAAAAAGAACCGGATCTGTTAACAGTTTATCGTTCATCTATGTGAGCACAACAACTCGTCCGACACACTTAGTGTTCGTATTTACATATTTTTTGGGCTTTCGTTCCCTCGGACGAAAGGAACCCGTTTTGGTCCGTTGCGTTCTTTAGCTGGCGGACGAACTGCCCCCTCCAAGATGGAATCTGGTAAATAGGCCGCCACCTCGCCCAGCAGCGTGTCTCGAAGGGAAATCACAATATTTCTGTTTTGAAGGTTGGTGTACGCAAGCCACGGAATTCAACCTCGAACAACCATTAAAGCAGCAAAATATTCCAGAATTTACTAATCATAAGGGTGTTTTGGACAGCGGTGCTAACGCACCGGCGATGGTGCAGCTGCCAGCGGTGAACACGGACTCCGACTCCATTGACCCTGTCATCCAAAACGAGCGTAAATAATGTAAGCGTAAGCTATGGCCCGTCCAGCACGACAACAGTGACTGCGTGATCGGCGAGGGTGATGCATGGGCGCCTGCGGGCACAGACACCGGGTATATACAAGGGCCAAAGAGATGGCGTGTGGCGGGACAACAGAACCAATCAGACCCCCACAGGTGTCTCAGATTTCCTTTGTAGCCAAGTATCCCTGGCCTGACTGCATGCCACCTGGCGTTAACAGTGGAGAGGGTTCACTATCAATTGTGGTGCATTGCGTGTACATTACGGAAGAAGCGTGATAACTTGACTGTAGCAGCTGGCCGCTGAAAAGGCCTCTCGAGATGCTGGTGGTCGCGCTTAGCGCGTATTTGTATAGCCGTACTGTGTACCAGATACTACATTGACGGCCTGCCGGACTGCCACCCTTGATGGGCACGTGACATCCGAGGGGCACAAGAAGTTACCGGAACATTTCCAGAATCAGCAGGCACAGCTAGCACTCCAGCAGCAGGAGCAGCAGCAGCAGCAGCAGAACGCGAACATCTCATCACCTCGAGCACCTCGGAGGCGGAGAAGGCCAAAAGCCAGCAGCTCATCCGCCTCTTCTCCTTGCTCTTCCGGGTCGCCCCATCCTGGACTCTACAGCCTCAAAGCTCAAAGGAGGATGGCTCGAAACGCTGTCCGTCCCGCACACCAGCAGCTCGCACTGGAGCGGCTTCCCAGCCTGGCACTATGTGGAGGCAGTGGATGGGGTGCTGGTGGTCAAGATAGGCACACACCCAGTGTTGTGTGGGTGCACACTTAGGGTTTCCATTGAGCATGGACGAATGTGTTAGCAACGAAAAGAAGTCGCACCTCTTCCTACACGCATACATCATGGACGAAAATTGGAGCCTGGTGCCCCTCCTGATCAACGTTGTTTGTAAGGGGCTTAGGGTTGTAAGGACAGGCGACAGGGCCCACATCCGTGCTTGGTGACCTCGCCAGGCGATAGCTTGGTGACCTCGCTTCCACCCTTACCTTACCCCACCATCACAGTTGGCACACCTGCAGGTTGCACCGGATGCTAAGAACGGGGGTCGACACATGGACTGTGGAGGCTGGGCTTGGAGAGGAGGGCTTTGGCGCGCAAGCTCGTGGCTGTCAGCACTGATGGTGCAAGCGTGATGCAGGTGCACAACGGTGCGTCAGACAGACCGCACCATTCCCGCTCAACATTCACTGCAAGGCGTCCACCGCACGGATCTTGCTGTAGCAGCGCTGGAGAAGGCGCCAAGGGGCCCAGTCGTCAAGGGGATCATTCAATTCATCAACTACGTCCCAGACGTCAATAATTACTTCTCAGGCAGCGCCAAGCGTGTTAGCATGTTCGAGGATGTGGCCGAGGCTGCGGAAACGAATGGCAACCGGCTGAAGTGGATTGCGAAAATGAGGTACACAACATCGTAAATTCACGTAAAATAATTTTCTTTTTGCACCCGCTTTGAATCCCCTAGCGTGGTCATTATTCAAGTGGATCTGCGCGTGTGACCCAGCAGAGTCCGTGCTGGTGGAATACCCAGCACTGCTGCCGCTATCCTGCTGCTACTGCGGGACGCCCGTCTGTACGTCGCGACGCATGCGTGAATACCCGCCCTGGTCATGGTCGGTATGTTCAAGAAGCTTTGCCAGAACTGTGGGCTGTACATCGGCAAGCTGGCCAAGGCGATGCGGCACGCCAAGGACCGGCTGTGTGAGACGTATCTCAGGGAGGAGACCCGCTAGAACGGTGTGGCAAATCTTTCAGCATTTTCGTTAATAATCGAGGTAGGAGAGATAAGTCATTGTGCCAGATATCAGAGCGGAGTTCGAGGACTGGAGTCCTCCAAGGCGCTCCTGGCAGTCGATGAGAATATCAAGGGCACTGTCTGGGCATTCGATCGGGACATCCTAAGTGAGGAGCGGATTGGAATGATGTGCGGCAGCCGTGGCTTCTTCCCCATCACCGCTGATCTCACACACACACACACACACACACACTCTGTGCTGGGACCGCACGACGACACTCTCGACATCGCAGCGCCTGGCCCTTATCGGCGAGTCAATGAAGGTAGACCTGTCAGCCGCAGTTAAGGAGCTGGAACCCGCAACAACTTCATAATCAGCCGGCTACTATGAGGCGGAGGAGGGGGCCCGGTAACATGTTGGGAGTCATTGGGGTTTGGGCTGCCATGGGTAGAAGTGTAACGGCTCGCGCAGGAACTACCGTTCGATCGAACGGTAGTTCCTGCTCTTTCTCGTAGCACATGTGTGTGTGGTTGTTACACATGATCAGCACATGTTACACATGATCAGCACGTAGCACATGATCAGCGGTTCCCATGAATCTTAAACTTTACGTTGATACCGCTTCCGCCTTGGGCATATTTTATTTAGTGGGGGAATTCATGCGATGAATACTCTACAAATAGTCTATTTAACAAATAATCGGTGTCCCCATACTTTCATACTGCCAAGTACGTAATCAGCACTTCTCGCTGCCATGTAAAAAATGTTCTTATGATACAACATATACACCATGCATCACAAATGGAAAAACGCATTCTAATTTCGTACTCGCTATCCAATGTTGCTTGCAATTCATCAATATCGAGTGATACTGCAGACAACCGGTTTTACGTGTTTGTTAAAACAAAAAAATGGGAGCCCAAGAATTCATGTGCTCTGGTTCTGGTTGGTGATCTGGGTGATCGTACCTTACACGCTACCGTACGGCCTAATGCAAAGCGCACAGCTACAAAAGATAAGCCTTATAAAAGGATATATACTTTAAATACAAAAGTACACGTATGAGAGGATGATTCCGTAAAGGCATGCAAGACCGTACATAGGGAGCTCAACGAAGCGCCTTGAGAAAAGTAACCTACCGAAAACAAGCAAGAACCTCTTCGTATAACAAAATGTATAGTTAGCTGCTGTCAGCTTAATCCCTTGAAAGGATATATCTTGCCGATCATAATAAAGGTCAACAGTCATATGTCAGCAGGAGGTGGCGCTCATCAGAACGCAAGCCTTGAGACCGAGCAGTCGCCATCTATGTACCAGCGCCATCTAGTGCTAGCAGGCCAACTTGACAGCAGCCCAATCTCTACAACACACAGCGCCACCTTAGCTCCCTCCGCCGCCCAGCAGCCAACCTTACAGCCCAATCTTTTCAACACTACTTCTGCGCAATCTAGCTTTCGCAAGGCACTCACCCTGACAGCATAATCCGCATACCAGTGTAACCTATTTAGCACCCAGCCATCCATTCAAACCTTCCGCAGCCTCTGTCCCTCATTCCCACCCTCCTGCTGAAGAAACCACCGATGTGTAATAATCGCTAGCCCCAGCAGTCCAACAACATCAACTAAGAGAAATGCATATGGAAATTGCTGAGCTTTAACCTGAACTTCTTTCAATGGCTATTAAGGTTGACACTTCTTGTAATATGACAGCTGTGGCACGCATTGGCACTCCAGGCCAGCAGGTACATGCGGTCAGTAACGGTCCAATGCTTAGCAGCTAGTAGTTCCTTTGTTTCTAGCACGATGAGAACCAGGCTCATGAATGTGTTACGTCCATATTACCGATTTGATCCGATTTGGCCACCGATGGCAACCGTTTCGTTCCAATGGGAAAGGGTTTCATCAACAGCGGTTGTAACTGTTAATCGTCTTAAGATCTCACCCTGATGTAATAGACAGGGACCGTCGCTATCTAACATGCCATTGCAAAATCTTAAGACTTTCAAACGAAAGGTTTCATCGCCACATACTTCCCCTTGTATCGTATCATGTCCAGCTACACAACAAGACTGCATGCACTTGTATTCTGTCATCTGCAATACGCCTTTCCGGCCCCCGCTAGCATAGGGGCACACGTGTGAGGCTCCGGTTGTAAATCGTACGTCAAGAAAAAGGCCCGCCCCCGAGTTTGGCGTACCACTTCGGGCCTTGTGCAGGAACGCTTGGCTTTTATAGTGGTGTGATAAACGATTGTTATGGTTTTGAGCCACTCTTGCCTGAACGGGTAGAGACAGAGCTTTACCGCTTTGTTCTGCAACACGAAATTTCGCCCGCCGGTGCTCGCAGAAGATATGGTTTAAGCACCTCTCTTGTGATTCTGCTAGCAGGTAAAATGTCCCTTCCGATGAACTGGCGGTGTGCTTCAGCAAAGTCATCATCACGAAGTTGTTTTGAACCAGCAGCCATCCATCCGCATCCACAGGTCTTCGAAGCGTCGGTACCCTGTAATATCCCAGCGCAATCGTTGATGTATGGTATTATCTGCTTACTGCGCAATTTGGTCCGCCCCCACGATAGCAGGTCGGCGTTGTTTGTGATCCGACGAAGCGAGGAGTTGGACACGCGCCATCATCTCACGTCCCCCCGCCGGTGCGTTATTGACCCAGGCAACAGGTTAGTGCTTGGGAGGAGACGTAATAATTTATATGTGTGCATCTAGAGTAATATATTCAGAACGTTTGGGGACGTCACACGGGCGCGTTCGGCCAAAACGCTGGCCCAACACAGAGGAGTGGACTATGCCGGATTAACATAACTAGCTTCACCTCAGCGCGATTGGAAATGATTATTAATATCTATAACATTATACTATTGCGGCAATGTGCTGTTAGAACGCCCTGCATTCCTGCGACGACCTTTGTCCGTGCAGCGGGTCAATGAACGATCGTATAAGGTCAAGCATCCAGGAATTCTGCAGTAAGCGCAACAAAGACATAGCTACTATTGTACGCGAGAGCACGTGAGATGAATATCCCGACGATGTCAACCGTGCTTTAGTAAATAACTTCATACGATTAGTTCCAGTATCTACCTCGTTCATTTCAACTTCCTCACGCAAATCATGAAACACATCCAAAGTATATTACAAATCATTTATTGACAGAGCTATGCCACTTGCACAAGTCGGCATTGCAAAGCCTGCCTGCCTGCCGTGAATAGGTACGATGGATGAGTAAAGCAGTTGCTAATAAGCGAGCATCAAAATAGGTCATGCTAGAGTCTCGATAAATTCATGCCGACAATGTTTTTTATTAGACCCGAAGCAGCAAGTTTGTGGACGGTATATAGGATGATCGGATTATTAGGGAGACGTAGATGTCCAGCCAAAAGAGAGCAAAATACATCAATACACCAAAGATAATCTGATTAAGTATATGCATGGCAAACTGTAAGGGATTTGTGTTCGTTACCGAGTAGGTATGGTTTGGCTTTGATCAGTACGACTCTGTTGTCAGACTATTTAAGGCATTTCCTATTCCATTATCTGTAAGCTTAATATTATTATCTTCCTTGTCTCTCAGCCAGCGTCTGATGTCGGACTCTGCAGATCGGGCAAGTTAGGAACTAATGCTTCCTCCAGTCGCCAACTGGAGCCAGTTCCTTTACATATGGTATCGAGTTATGGTTCGATCCTACCTCGGTCCGTATTGGAGCTGTTTTCCCATCGTCACAGCGTTTCCGCTTCACGCCACTTTAATGATCGATTGATTTTTGCCGTTCCTTTACACCTTCTTCACACAAACAAAAGCCATCTTTTCGCGTCCCTGACTCTGAGAGTCATGGACTCATGGACTACTGCAAGTAAGGCTCATTTTTGCGGGACTCGTAATACCATCCGGTGCAAAACGGTGTATGTATATTTGTGCCTGGCATCGCCGTTCACGGCCTGCGGCTGCAGTCCAGCATCAGGTCTAGGCGCTGCACCTGCCTCCTGCTGCCACGATCAGCAGCGCATTTCTACTTGGGGTTATAATGGACGGAATGAATGATTTCTCAAATCTTGATGGTCATATGGTGGGACTTGGAAGCTGGTTACAGCTCCACGCAGCAGGTAGAGTGCGGCGGGGTGCGAGAGTGGCGGAAAGATACAAGTGAGGAGGGCAACAAGAAAGGAGCAAAAAACGAAAACTGCCGCGGGCCGCCCTCTAGACGGCGGATGGAAGTGCTCCTGATTAGTATTGTAAAGTAATCGTATTGTAAGGCGTCGAGTTATTGTTGAGTCTTGGGACCGCCTTCGGGGCTCCGTGGCTCTGGGGAGTTCCACGGAAAGAATCAGATTCTGTTGGGTCACATCACCCCTTCTTGCGAATTGTGTCGGACAACTCGTTATGTTCACGGGAGCGGTCACCGATGGACGACTACCTACCACCTGCTTCACTTCTTTATTTCAATTCTTTTATTTGGGGACGTTTGGGGCACAGGCCTCATCTAGTAACAACGTGCAAGTTCCTGTCAGTATTTGTTAGTGGGCCTTGTGGTGGAGGTCCGGAGACTTTCGCGCATTGGGGAGCCTAATGGCGAATTTCCCCGTGGTGGGTTTTTGAGCCTTCCCGTTGGACTCGCTTTCCGCTATCTAGGTGACACAAGCGTTGCCTGGTCTGGGTGGGTGTCTTGTTTGCCCGGATCATCTCAGGTGCAGTACTAACGCAAGGCCAGCTGGCTCTACTCTTCGTGAGTCTGGAGCCCACTGTAACCACCACACACACATAAAGCACGACGCTTGTCCCACAATTGAGCCGTTCACCGGCGCACTCTGTTAGACAGCTGTCCATGTTAATAGCAGCAGGGGTAGGAAGAGGCGGGTACCTGGGTACATACGGGGTTGAAAATTACACTGCATGTAAGGAAAACATGGGAAAAGCGGCGATGCGCGGGTTTGCTTCATGGGCCCCTGACCATTTGGGGGATTTAGGATACGGCTGTGCTTTCTCCCCCTCTCAAGAGGTGGATCCTTGCGCAACGCCGTGTGTTCTCTGGCTCATCGTTCATAGCGGGTCGCTCGTACAGGCTCCCTCGTTCGTAGGGTGTAGGGGTTTATGAATCGTGGCATGGATCGTGGCATATCGATCGATGTACATATTAGCTTTCTAGGCTTTCTAGAGGAGTCAGGGTCGCCAAACGTCCCTCACATAAGCTTTACGACTAGAACAATTGCCAACAGGCCACGGGTTCTCAAGCACCTTGCTGTCGTCCCTCCCTCCCGCACACTAGCTAGGTGTGGCACCCAGCCAGCCCTCACATGCCCCTCCACCTCCACCCCACCACGTCATCCGCAGGCTGCCCTGTCGTCCTCATCTCGGCCAGCTCGCCGGGCTCCCGTGCGGCGGCCTCAACGGCAGGTAGCTAGGGACTCGCCAGGTCAGCAGGAGGAGCCAACAGAGTCATGTGTAGGAGGCAGCCGCTGCAGGCGGCCAAGAGGATGGCTGTGGTCCCTGGCATGAGCCGCCGTCGCCAGCCAGCCATCGCATTGCCCAGCGCTGCGGGTGCACTGATGTCCGTGGCGCTGCTGCTACCGCTGCTGGTGCTCCTGAACACACAAATGGCAGTTGCTAAGGTGCCGCCGCCGCCACCACCACCGCCGCCGTCACCACCGTCCCCACCTCCGACACCATCACCACCGTCACCTCCATTACCACCATCACCCCCCCCGCCGCCATCACCACCGTCACCGCCGCCACCGCCGCCACCGCCCTCACCGCCCTCACCGTCACCTCTGCCGCCACCGCCGTCACCACCATCACCACCGTCGCCGCCGCCACCGCCGTTACCGCCGTCACCGCCGCCACCTCCATCACCTCCATCACCGCCATCACCGCCATCACCGCCGTCACCGCCGCCACCGCCGTCACCGCCATCACCACCGTCACCACCGCCACCGCTAGCGCCACCATCACCGCCGCCACCGCCAATCACCGCCATCACCGCCGTCACCGCCGCCACCGCCGTCACCTCCATCAGCACCGTCACCACCGCCACCGCTAGCGCCACCATCACCGCCATCACCGCCGCCACCGCCAATGCCGCCATCACCGCCGTCACCGCCGCCACCGCCGTCACCTCCATCAGCACCGTCACCACCGCCACCGCTAGCGCCACCATCACCGCCGTCACCGCCGCCACCGCCAATGCCGCCATCACCACCGTCACCGCCATCGCCACCGTCACAGCCGCCACCGCCATCCGCGCCATCACCGCCGCCACCACCATCGCCGCCGTCACCGCCACCACCGCCCACACCGCCCTCACCACCGTCACTGCCATCACCGCCATCGCCGCCGCCACCGCCATCCGCGCCATCACCGCCGCCACCACCATCGCCACCGTCATCGCCACCACCGCCCTCACCGCCCTCACCACCGTCATCGCCATCGCTGCCATCGCTACCATCGCTGCCGCCACCGCCCTCACCACCGTCACCGCCGCCACCGCCCTCACCACCGTCACCGCCATCGCCGCCATCGCCACCGCCACCGCCATCACCACCGTCACCGCCGCCACTGCCGCCACCGCCATCACCACCCGCACCGCCGCCACCGCCGTCACCACCGTCACCACCGTTACCGCCACCACCACCGTCACCGCCACCACCACCGTCACCGCCATCGCCGCCGCCACCGCCATCACCACCGTCTCCGCCGCCACCACCGTCACCACCGTCACCGCCGCCACAGCGGCCACCACCGTCACCTCAGCCGTCACCACCGCCACCACCGCCGTCACCACCGTTACCGCCGCCGCCACCGTCTCCATCGCCGCCGAGTCCCCCTCCGCCGCCACCCCCCCCTCGGGGGAACCGCTCGCCACCTCCGCCACCGCCGTTTTCCTCACCGCCTCCGCCTCTCCTTCCGTCTCCTCCGCCACCTGTGCTTCTAACTCCACCTCCTCCCACCATCTCCAGCAAATCTCAACCACCTTTAACTCCCACCCCACCGCCACCATCTCCCACCCCACCTCCACCTCCG